AAAGTGGGATAACTCTATCAAAAATGGCTAGTGGGAGGAAACAAAAACAGAATTTCCAACTTTTAATATTATGGTAAACAAGAAATTGGAATAATACTCAATTTTCTTTTACCAGAAGCTAGCCACTTGGAGTGCCCCTGATGTTGCTGTAAGAAGGTCCTCCATTGTGCGGGTGGCAGGGCCCAAACTGCATTGTAGTAAATGGTCTTTGGTTTGCTCTTCTCCGCACTCACATGTCACAAACTCCACCTTGTAGCCCCATTTCTTAAGGTTAGCTCTGCATCTCGTGGGGTCAGAATATAGTCTGTTCAGTGCTTTCCAAGTTTCTCAGTCTTCTGTGTGCCCAGGGGGGAGTTTCTCATCTGGTCTGAGCCACTGACTGAGGTTCCAGGTTTTTGCCTGCCACTTTTGGACTCTCACTTGCTGAGGTGCTCCTGTGAGAATTTCTGTAGATCTTAGGAAGCTATTTCTTGATTTAAAATGTTGGCTTGCTGGCTGATATCTGTACAGAGGATGGGGCAGAGATATCAATGCCTTAGTCCTTTCATTACAGGCTGCTACTTCCTGATGAATGTTAGGTGGTGCAATAGTGGCTAAACTGGCAATTGCAGTTCAAGCATGTGGAGACTGCAAGTTGGAGAAGGCTATGGTAGACCAACTAAAATTACCAGGAATCCAGTAATGATCAATTGGGTATAGTTTAAATGTGACTAAGTTTGGATCCTAACACATATATCAAATGCATGTATAGAAAGAGACAAATATGCATGTGTAGAATTAGACAGGAAGATCTTTTAAACAGTATCCCAAAATGCCAGTCAAGAATAGATGGGACTGCTTTCTCTGTCATGGGTTGTTTTTAGAAACATGTGGCTAACTTTGCATATGTTTAGCCAACAAAAGGATAAAGTTATTTGATTTTCATAATGCATTCCTACCATAATGAGTGTAACTTGTAGTAAGAGAGATTAGTTTATGTGATTCTGGAAAATCTAATCTACAATTAGTGTAATTCAAATACTCAAAATTCCTAGGTAAACTAATAAATACTTTATCCTTAAGTATTTATTAGTTTACCTAGGAATTTTGAGTATAGAAGCTGCCAGCTTGGTGTGGTGGTCTGAGCTTTGGGCTATGACTCTGGACACCAAAGATCAAACCCCCGCTCAGTCTATGAAACCTAATGGGGTTTGTGTGTGTGTGTGTGTGTGTGTCAGGAGCAACTTGAGACAGTACAAGTCACTTCTGGTGTGAGAGAATTGGCAATCTGCAAGAATTTTGTCCAGGGGATGCCTGGATGTTTTTCCATCCTGTGGGAGGCTTCTCTCATGTCCCCGCATGAGATGCTGGAGCTGACAGATGGGAGCTCACCCCACTCCCTGGATTTGAACCACTGACCTTTCGGTAAGCAGTCCTGCCTATTGTGCCACCAGTGATCTTGTGCAAGTCATGCTCTCTCAGCCTCAGAAGAAGCCAAACCTCTTCTGAACAAATCTTGCCCCAAAAACCCCTGTGATAAGTTTACTGTAGGGTCACCGCAGGTCATAAATGAAGTCAGAACATCAATAGATAAAATAGAAAAATAGCTTCAAATCCTTCAAACTGACTTAGTTTTTTAAAAACACCAAATAATCGTTGCTCATCTTTGGAATAAAACCAGAATAGTGATAATATATTTTGGAAGACACCTTTTGAGAACAATGTGGAGTGTAAATAAACTAATTAAATACAATAACACATACACATTGGGCTACCCATTATTTTCTTGGAACCCTGTACAATACAATACAAAACACAAAGAGACAAAAATATACAATTGCTTTTTTATTTAAAAAAACTACCATTATAGGTAAAGTTATCTGTCACCAGTTATTTCCAAGCTCTAATAGATTACTATGTACCAGTGGTTTGGAAGTAGTAATACTCACTGTGGCAGTAATACGACTCTTCACCACATAGCCAAAAAAGGAGACCATATCTTACTTCACCCTAGAGATGTACAGTATATTGACATACAAGCTTCCCACCGAACTTTTTAATGAAATTGTGAGAACATCACTGTTAGACATGTGAACAGGGCAACCAGCTGCCGTCAACGGAAGGCTTTTTTATTGATTTTAAATTAAGGTCACAGTCCCCCAGGCCACAGCTAGATTTGATTATTTGTGGCATAATTCAAGTGTGTGTTAGGTTTCTTTTCTTTATGGGCAGCAATTAAAGGTATTCAGTTGAGCAGTGACCCTGTAACTTACCACATGCTTAAAAAACTGAACGAAGTCACAGTTCTTATATGGCAATTTGTTGCAGCCCAATATAATAATAATAAGAATATGGGACCACATATCCTTACATGTGCAACCTACGGTTACTCCCCTCCCTTAAAAGTCAAGGTGTGCAGACCACTGCTTGGATTTCCTGCACTAAACAACATTCAGACCGATATGCACATAGCAGATGCAGTACTCATACATTCCTGAAAGAACAGTTAAATCTATCTATCATTCCTGATACTGCTGTATTATGTGTGTCTTGGAACTCTTACCCCAATCTATTTTCTGTTCTCTTTCGATGACTTCATAAAAGAGTAGAATTCTGGGAAAGCTTGAAGAAATCTCTTATCTCTTCAGCTATGCAGACTTGGCCTAGAGCCTTAAAAGATTATGAAATCAGCCAGGAACATAGTACCTCAAATCAGAAATTGCATCAAATCATTTGCACAAGCCCTGGCTAAAATTCAGTTGTGGTTTAAATTTCCATACAGTCAAGCAAACAACAATGTAGAACACTATTTGTCTGCTTTAGTTTTCTGTATGCTCATTTGTTTGTTTCATTTTTTTTCATGTTGGGAGCAACTTGAGCAAGTCGCTTGTGGTGTGAGAGAATTGGTCATCTGCAAGGATGTCGCCCAGGGGACGCCCGGATGTTTTACCATCCTTTGGGAGGCTTCTCTCATGTCCCTGCGTAAGATGCTGTAGCTGACAGATGGGAGCTCAAACTGCTTCTAGGATTCAAACCACTGACCTTTTAGTCAGCAGTCCTGCCGGCAAAAGTGTGTCACCAACATGAAATGTTCAGAAAGTTCTGATTTAAAGGCACATTTTCTTATGGTGATTTCTTGAACCAGCAAGCTAGGAACCTCCACACACTATGGAATTTGCTGAGAATGTCTTCTCTACTGACACTTCCATAGAATTATCTCCAAATATAGGAAACTGGCACATAACCAATTCCTGATATTTGGTTTATATGGTATTCAGTATACAGGCAGCCCCTAAGTTATGAACAAGTTAGGTTCTGTAGGTTGAATTTGGAAGTCGGAACAGGCACATATTTAAAGAGAGAGAGAGAGATGGGCTCCCTGGTGGTGCAGTGGGATAAACTGCTGGGCTGCTGAACTTGCTGATCGGTGGTTCGAATCTGAGGAGCTGGGTGAGCTCAGCTTCTGCCAACCTAGCAGTTCAAAAACATGCACAAGTAAGTAGGCCCAGCGTCTGCCAACCTAACAGTTTCAAAACATGCAAATGTAAGTAGATCAATAGGTACTGCTTCTCTGGAAAGGTAATGGTGCTGCATGCAGTCATGCATTTCTGTGCTCTGCTATGGCTGACTTCTCTGGCTGAATCAGTCTGCAGTGCCTTTCATGTTCCTTGATTTGTGTTTGGATATCGCTGCGTTTGGTGGTCCCTATGTAGACTTGTCCACAGCTGCATGGTGAGAGACTCCTGCAGAGGTGAGAGGATCCCTTTTGTCCTTTGCTGTAGCATTTTGTAAGATTTTCTTAGTGTCTCTGTAGATAGTTTGTAGGTTGTGTTTCTTCATCAGTAAGAAGCCAGACCTTGAAACTGCTAGGCCATTAAATGCTAATCAAGGTGGCCAACTGCAACATTCACACTTGCCCCAAGCAGACAAAGAGTTCTTTCTCCCAACCTGGACATTATTCCACAAATATATAAACCTCACTTGCCTAGTTTCCAAAACACCTCACAACCTCTGGGGTTGCCTGCCACAGACTCAGGTGAAACATCAGGATAGAATGCTTCTGGAATATGATGATACTACCTGGAAAATCCATGACAATCCAGTGATTCTGGCCATGAAAACCTTCTATAATACACCTTGATTAGCATTTCAAATTCCAGAAGCCTTGGACTGCGAGAAGATCCAACCAGTCCATACTTCAGGAAATAAACCCCGACTGCTCATTGGAGGGAAGGATATTAGAGGCAAAGAAGAAGTATTTTGGCCACATAATGAGAAGACAGGGAAGCTTTGAGAAAACAATTATGCTGGGGAAAATGGAAGGAAAAAGGAAGAGGGGCCAACCAAGGGCAAGATGGATGGATTGAATTGACTGGCTTTTCCTAGAAGGAGCTGGGGGTGATGACGGCCGAAAGGAGCTCTGGCGTGGGATGGTCCTTGAGGTCATGAAGAGTTGGAAGCGACTGAATGAATGAACAACAGTATTTCAAAGCCTTGAGGCCTCAAGGCCTGGCTGCTTCCTGTCTGGTGGAATCCTTTGTTGGGAGGTGTTAGCTGGCTCTGATTGTTTCATGTCTGGAATTTCCGTTTTCAGAGTGTTGTTCTTTATTTACTGTCCAATTTTTTAGAGTTTTTTTTAAATGCTGGTAGCCAGATTTTGTTCCTTTTCATGGTTCCCTCCTTTCTGTTGAAATTGTCCATATGCTTTTTGTGGATTTCAATACCATGCAGCCCTTAACCCTGGGAGAGAAATCCTTGCGACTGGCTCCCTTTTCTCCAATCCCATCTGCGCCTGGGGAAGAAGAAGAGGAGGAAGAGGAGGAGGAGGAGGAGGAGAGGGCTTGCTGTTTGCGCCGCCGCGCGCCGGAGTCGGTGGCGTGTGCCAGACCCGTCTCCCTGCCAGTGGCTGCCTGGCGGGCATGCGCTTTCGCCGCTCCAATTGGGGGCGGGGTCTCTCGAGGGCCCCGCCCCATCCCCCCGCCCCCCCCCCCCCCTCCACATCCTCCTCCTCCTTCAGAGAGAGAGAGAGAGAGAGAGAGAGACAGTCAGTCAGCCAGCCCAGGTCTACCCAGGCGCTAGACGTCAAGCGCGGGATTAAGGGCAGGGCAAAGACATAGCGCCTTATATCCCTTGGAGAGCCTGACAGGGATACAGAAGGCGAGAGAGCTGCAAAAGGGGAGGAAGAGGAAGAAGAAGCGGCTGGTCCATTGCCGTTGGTTTCCATGAAGCGCAGCTAAAGCAACGCCGGGCGCCAAAAAAGGGGGGACTGAGGTAAAAAGGGGAAGGGAAGCGCGCTCTGGGCTAGGAAGCGGGGTTTGGTGGCCAAGCAGGAGCAGCAGGGTGCCCCCTCCTTCCTTCCTTCCTTCCTTCCTTCCTTCCTTCCTTCCTTCCTTCCTTCCTTCCTTCCTTCCTTCCTTCCTTCCTTCCTTCCTTGGCCCTGTCGCCTGCCTTTGGAGGGAGGAGGAGAGGAGAGCGAAAGGGGGAGGGAAGCGGGGGCTTGGTGGCCTCCTCTGGGACTGAGGCGGGGCTGGACCTGGAAGGGAGGCGAGGCCTCGGACAGCAGGTTGCTCCAGGCCTCGGGAGGAGAGCAGCTCAGGTGCTGGCCCTCAGGTGCGCTCCTCCGCCGCCTCCTCCTCCTCCTCCTCCTGCCCCTGGCCTCGCCTCCATCTCTGCCTCCTCTGCCTCTCCCCGAGGATGCTTAGTCAGGAATATTTGTGTGTGGGAGGGGGAGATACACAGGGAAAACATCCACTCCATATTTTTTAAGGAGAGAGGGAATCCTACCAGACCCAGAGTGAGAAGGGAAGCCGTGTCCCTCCTGCACAATCACTGCACAATCACCCAGGATGAAGAGGGGAAAGGACAGAAGGTGGGGTCTCTCTCTCTAAGGCTTATGTGCTCTCCAGGTTGTCCCCATGATGAGGCTCCCAGACGGCTGTGTGTGCCTAGCATCCATTTTGCCAGCTGATGGGTCCTCTAAGGTTTATCTGCTCTCCAGTTTGTCCCCATGATGAAGCTCCAAGGCAGCGGTCTGTGTCTAGCATCCATTTTCCCAGCTGATAGGTTTGGCTGCACAGAGGAGGAGGAGGAGGAGGAGGAGGCAGGGATGGAGGCTTCCCAGGGATGCTTCAGCCCTGTGAAGGGGAGCATTGCGCTATGAAGGGTACAAACCGCTTTCCAGGGTTGGCCCTGAAGTTGGCACAATTGCTAGAGGCAAAAAACTTGGCAAGACAGGGGTCCTTTCCACACAGCCCTATATCCCAGAATATCAAGGCAGAAAATCCCACATTGTATTGTCGAAGGCTTCCATGGCCGGAATCACTGGGTTGTTGTAGGTTTTTTCGGACTATATGGCCATGGTCTAGAGGCATTCTCTCCTGACATTTCGCCTGCATCTATGGCAAGCGTCCTCAGAGGTAGTGAGGTCTGTTGGAACTAGGAAAAGTGGTTTATATATCTGTGGAATGACCACATTCCACATTATCTGAGTGTAGGCTCAGATAATCCAGCTCAAAGCAGATATTGTGGGATTTTCTGCCTTGATATTCTGAGATATAGGGCTGTGTGGAAGCACCCAGGGTTGCTGTGAGTTTTCCAGGCTGTATGGCCATGTTCCAGAAGCATTCTCTCCTGGTGTTTTGCTCACATCCATGGCAGGCATCCTCAGAGGTTGTGAGGTTTGTTGGAAACTAGGCAAGTGGGGTTTATATATCTGTGGAATAATGTCCAGGGTGGGAAGAATAAATGTCAGGAGAGAATGCTTCTGGAACATGGCCACACAGCCCGGAAAACTCACAGCAACCCAGTGATTCTAGCCATGAAAGCCTTCAACGTCACATCAATGAATTGCATTGTTAGATTGGTTCCCATCTCCTAGATATCTCATGTATGATGTGCAAATACAAATATTCCAAACTCCCAAACATTTCTGGTCAGATAAAGGATATTCAACTTGTACTTATGCCATAGGGGTCTTGCACAGCATCCACTTTCTGTTGCAGCCCTGTAACATCTGTGTGTGTTGCTGAGCCTTGCAAGCATCATTCTCTCCTTCTGCCAACCTCATCTCACTAGAGCAGGCATCCTCAAACTGTGGCCTTCCAGCTGTTTGGGCCTCTAACTGCCAGAAGCCCTAACGAGCTTGTTCAATTGTCAGGAATTCTGGGAGTTGAAGGCCCAAACAGCTGGAGGGCCTGCAATAGAGATTGAATCCACTTTAAATCTGGTTGCTGCCTCCTGCAGAATTCTGGCATTTGTAGTTTACAGAGGAGCCTTTAATAGCTTCACTAAACTGCAAACTGTTTTCAATTTATTGTTTATAATTGTTTTAATTGTGTTAATTGTAACTGTGTTTTAATGGGGGTTTTTTGTTTTGTTTTTGTTTGTTTTTTTGGCATCTAATGGCTGCCTGCTATAAGCAGTCCTGAGTCCCTTTTTGGAGATGAGGAGAATGGGATATAAATCCCTGAAATAAATACAAACCCCAAAATTCTGCAGGAGACAGAAACCAAAATTAAAGTGGATTCATTCTAACCATTGTTGTGAGGAAATATCAGAGAAAATAAAGAGGAAACACCAAGAACTGTGCAGCCTTGGAGGCGGAGGAGGAAGGCAGGAGAACAAGCCTTGAACAGTCAAGATTATATTTATTTTCTTTATTTTTATCCTATCTTGCTCCCAATCATCATACCTCAAGGTGAGCCTTCAAGTTACCTATTAGTTTATGGCAATCCCATTAATTCTTTCAATCTCTCTATTTCAAGCCTGGGCAAACGGACCCTCTGGGTGTTTGGACTTCAACTCCCAAAATTCCTAACAGTCTCAGGCCCCTTCCTTTCCCCCTTCAGCTGCTTATGCAGCTGAGGGGGAAAAGGAAGGGGCCTGAGACTGTTAGGAATTGTGGGAGTTGAAGTCCAAAACACTCGGAGGTCCCACGTTTGCCCATGCCTGCTCTATATCTATCTGCAATATGCAAGCATATTCCAGCATCTATTTATTATCTGTCTTTTAGATTTGTTTGAGTTTTAACATAAGCATTTGTCATCAAGTCCATTTTGCCCCTAATATCTGTGTGTGTCCCCCAATAAAAGAGAGGCCATTGTTTCACTCTGCACTGGAGGAGGTCTGTGTGTTTAGTGAAATGAAATCTCATTGCATGTGCTGTTTAGGGTTAGAACTGTTGCCAAACAGCTGCTGCTTTGTGCTTCAATTGCAGAGGTCCCAGGAGTGGGTTTTGGACAGGGGTGACGTGGTGTGTAAACGATGAAGGACGACAGGGACAAGGGTCAAGTGCAGATTTATGGGCGGATAGACCTTCCTCGGCTAAACTTCTTACAGAGCTTAATTTGGGGAAGTAGTTGCAGGTCACAGGCTTGGGGATTTAGACAAAATCGTAACTGTAAGCAAAATTGTGCTTGTAACATTGGGTGGAATGCTGCCTAATCCAGAGTAATGGCTGCTATATAGCATATTTCTGTTTTTGTTTTACTGTTGGTGTCTCTTGTTTTGAAGATGTGCTCTCATCCTGATTGTTGGATTGTGCATAAGTATTTCCATGAAGATTTCTTACTGACAGACATGCTACTTTGTTAACTGTACACTGTAGAAATATAAACACGGATCTGATCATGTTTTATTAACCTACCCCTTGCTCATTCATGTGCTGTTATTTTATATTACTTTATATTACTTGATTTTTCCAGATAAATAAATAACAAATACTCTTTGAAGGGGCACAGCGAGTTAAACTGCTGAACTTGCTGACTGAAAGGTTGGTGGTTCGAATTTGGGGAGTGGGGTGAGCTCCCAATGTTAGCCCCAGCTTCTGCCAATCGAGCAGTTCAAAAACATGTAAATGTGGGTAGATCAATTGGTACCGCTTCAGCAGGAAGGTAACGGAGCTCCATGCAGTCATGATGGCCACATGACCATGGAGGTATCTACAGACAATGGTGGGGCTCTTCAGCTTAGAAATAGAGATGAGCACCACCCCCCAGAGTCAACTAGGCTTAATGTCAAGGGGAAACCTTTACCTTTAGGTACTCTTTTAAGAAGGGAGACTATTTTTGGACAGTCTTCCAGTTAACCTCTGGGTTTCCTTCCTCTCTCATTATGAAACCATCTACTGCTGATGAATGGTATGGTCCTATTTTCAATTCTTCCTTCAGGCATTTCTTTTAAAGAAAGATGTTTGTTTTGAGTTGGAATGTCAGGTGTGTTGATAGGGGCTTACTCTTTTCCCATGAAATGAAAATTTTGGTGGTTTGTAAGAGGGGAGAGATTGGCAATCATATTGGATCCAGAAAAGTATAATGTGAGGAAAAGCTTTCTACTGGATTAATTTGGGAGGAAAAGCCACTTTCTATCTTTTCCCCTCTAATGCCCTTGATATTTTGTTCATTATTGCCTCTGTTTTATAGTGTTGTCTGTGATAAGTGCAGGCCTCCACTAGGGGCTTCACTGAGACAGCCAAATCTAGGTATTACGGCCAGTTAAAAATAAACATGAAGAAACATTTGCCAAGCAACAAAAGGCAAAGCTTTATGATTTCACAAAATAGTTAAAAGTGTGTTTCAGGAGTGTGAACTTTGAGAGGCATAGTGGTTCATAAAGTGGATTTTAAAGTGATAAATATTCAGATTAGAGGATTATAATAAAGGTTTCCCCTTGAAATTAAGTCTAATCGTGTCTGACTCTGGGGGTTGGTGCTCATCTCCATTTCTAAACCAAAGAGCCGGTGTTGTCCGTAGACACCTCCTAGGTCATGTGGCCAGCACGACTTCATGGAGCGCCGTTACCTTCCCTCTGAAGTGATACTTATTGATCTACTCATATTTGAATGTTTTGAACTGCTAGGTTGGCAGAAGCTGGGGATAATGATGGGATTTCACCCTGTCCCGCAGATTATACAAATGGGTTAAAACAGTAGACCTGCCATTTGTGTTTACTAGATGGAAGTGAAATATAAATTTAGCATGAATAAAAATTGGTCAAATGTAGTTGTTCATTAATGAGATGCAGTATTATGCTTTTTTTTCTCAGACATGATTGAGACAAATATTAGATCAATCTGCTCAAGATTAGCCTTCAGAGAATCTAGTTTCTTTTGCCCTCCCCTTTCTCAGAAAGGGTATCCGATGCTCTTAGAGCCTTAGAGCACTCAACGGTGATGATAATGAGGATTCCCCACTGTTATCTCTGATCAGAGATGGGAGATAATGGAGTCTTCTTTTCCTGTTCTCAGCTGCTAGAAGTAACAGTTCAAAGTGTGTTGCTTTCCCGCCCTGCTTGCCACTAACATTTCCTGGATTTTGCTTTAGATGAACAAACAACAGTAAACCTCTGTTCACATGATCTTTGTCCTTTATTATCCACCATTCTATGCATCTTATATCCACTATACTTTCCCCTTATTTCTCAGCTAAGGGAACATGTTTTAGATATGGTTAGTTCAAAGGAACTGGGTTAAATCTTAACTAGAATAGGTGAGAAATTACTTGAAGGCACACAACAGCAGTGGCAACAAAAAACTACAGTTTCCTAAGCTGACATGTAATGGTGTGCTGTGCTTTATTGACAGTGGAAGAGAGATGCTACCTTCTGTCATGCATAAAAGGGTTGAGGGTAGAATCGTATAGCCATAGACTTGGAAGAGACCACAAGGGCGATCCGTCAAACTCCCTCGCATGCAGGAATAGACAATCAAAGCACCCCCAACAGATAGCCATCCAGCCTCTGTTCAGAAAACTCCAGACCACAAATTCCATTCTCAAGCAGCTCTTACTGTCAGGAACTTCTTAAGTAGAATCTTTTTTCCTGAAGTTCGAAACCACTCTGTGTCTTAATCTCTGGAGCAGCATTTACTTAGTTATTTATCTTATTTATATCCCATTTATTTACCTTATTTATATCCCACTTTTTCTCTACCCCGAGCAGGACTCAAGGCGGCTTACAAATGGCACCTAGATTGTACCTCAAAACATACAAAATACAATTAAAATGAATTCAATTAAAATTACTAACACAACAGCATGATTAAAATACATTCAAGCTTGTTCTCTCTTCAGTATGACATACTTTCAAATATTTAAATATGGTTATCATATCCTCTGTTAACCTTCTCTTCTCAAGGCTAAACATACCCTAAGCCGCTCTTCCATTGTGGATGTATGCATAATCCTTAAGCTTAAGTTCATTCATATATGGTCTCGCATTGTGTCTGACCAGGACATTTAGTTTTTAAAAGGTCAGATATGTAACATGTCACTTTCTTTTGCTTTGAAAGAACAAGAAGGATAGATTAAATGTAGCACACACTCTCTCCCTTCAAAAGCAGACCATGTTGCTAGTCGATAGGTTGCTGATGTCATAAAAAATGGCAGGGCATTCATCCTAGATGAAAGACCCAGGGATAGTGGACCGAAATTTCTCATGAATATAAAAATGACCCTAATTAGGCCCAGCTGGCAAAGTGTTGTTAAGTGACATATGGCTTTGTTTGCTTCAGTCACTTCTAGGTTGCAAAGTTGGAATCAGATGTAAAGATTTATAGGTGGCAAGTAATTTAACCTCAATTACTTTTGCATAAATCATGTGAGTGACTTGTCAAGAGCAGGTACATGCACACATGGAGAGGTGTTGATGCATGCTCTTTTTTTTAAAAAGAAAAAGGCTAGGTGCTGACAGCTAGACATTCCACCTGATTATTTCAAAACGTATGTGGGATTTTGAACATCTTTCTCCTGCGGCTGCTTAGCTCCACTCCACCTTGACCCTGCCTTCCTGTCTTCCCCAACATAGTTCAATTTTGCTCACATTTTATTCAGTTTTACCCAATTTTACTCACAAATCAATCTGTCTTCCAAGAACTATACTCCTGAGTAAGTCCAACATCATGGGAGGTGTAGTTTAACAAAGTTTCATTTTCTCTACTAAAGAGTGCTGGTGGCTGACCAAACTACAATTCCCAGGATTCCATAACATTGAGCCATATCTGTTATAGTGTGTCAAACTGCATTAGTTCTATTCTGCAGATGCACTCAGAGTTTATTTTCTGTGTGAGTCTTCTGTGGCATTAGTCCTCTGAGATTTGAGAGGTTTTAGTAGAATCATAAGGAGGCCCTGATGGTGCAGTGGGTTAAACCGCTGAGCTGCTGAACTTGCTAGACAAAAGGTTGCAGGTTCGAATCTGAGGAGCAGCATGAGCTCCCGCTGTTAGCCTCAGCTTCTGCCAACCTAGCAATTCAAAAACATGAGACCAAGCCCAGAATTACAGTACAACAAAATAAAATAAAATACAAACATCAGATAATAACATCAAAATAAAATACATAAAATAACAGAAAATGAAATAAACAGATGCAAAATAACTCCATGATATAGTAGTAATTCTTTTAGAAATATGCTAAAAGAGGTTCTTCAAGTTTTGTCCATTCCAGGAAGTCATAAATTATATTATTCCTCTAGTGCCAAACCCTCTATCTCAATAAGGATGCATAAAGACAGGAAGAAGGAAAGGCTTGCCTTCATTGTTTCTTGAAAGAAATGTGAAAGGATATTGGACAAATCTACCGCAGGGCATGGTCTCATTAAGTATGATTGAGATGGGGCAGTAATAGCGTTGGAGATCATGTGTATTGCCCTCAGTGTGATCAAATAATTTTCTGCCCAGAATAAGTGGCAATTGTGCAATGGTTG